CATGCATACACTGTGTTATAGTTGTTCTGCTGTGGCAGAACAATTAGTAAAAGCACCCTAAAGGAAAGCCTTAAATGGCTCTCATTGGCTTCTCATTCTGTCTTCCATATCCTGTAACCTCCTTCATACTTTCTACTCATCTTATACTATATAATATTAACATAAATTTTTAAAAAAAAATTATCTGAGCTCACAGTTTCAGAAGTGTCAGTCCATGGTAACCTAGCTCCACAGTTTCTGTGCCCGTGGGGAGGTGAACATATGGCAGAGTACGTGATGCAGCAGAGATGTTCACCTCTAAACAGCGAGGAAGTGGAGAGAACAGTCAGAAAGGAAGGGGCCAGGGGCAAAATGCAGCCCCCAAAGGCACAGCCCTATGACCATCTTCCTCAGCTAGGCCGGCCACCTAAATGCCCATCATCCTCAATGATGCCATCGAGTTCTAAGTCTATAAATGGATTAAGAGCCCTCAGGGTGCACTCACCTCCTTAAACCCCAACCTCTGAGGACTGCTGTACTGGAGACCCAGCCTTCAACACAGGAGCTTCTGGAGGGCACTCAGCATCCACTCTGTAGGGCATCCGTAGACTTCCCAGTCCCTCCCAACCAGAGTCACTGAAGATTTTGTCTTTTGAAAAAACACATTTCCTTTTTCCAAATAAAGTTAACAATAATCGTGTTCATTCTAATGTAAATTTTACCACTCACTGAGCACTTGTCATGTGTTAAAACTCTATCCATACAATATTTTAGACCTTTGTCAACACTGATGAAAAAAGAACCTAAAGTCACTTCTTTAAGAGCAGACTCCCCCTACTCCCTGTTCTCTCTGGTAAAGAGTTTGAGATTTATTTTTTTGAGTTTGTGTTTCACCAATCAAACTTCAAAGCTCCGGTAGGACCAGTAGCTTTTTTTTTGTCTTTTTCGTTTTTATCGGTACCAGAACTCACGACTGCCTGCTTGCAAGGCAGGTGCTTATGCCACTGAGCTAAACCGCCAGCCCCTAGAAGGGGGCTTTTAGAAAGTGCTAGTTTATCGGGGCATGGTGGCTCACTCCTGTAATTCCACCACTCAGGAGGCTGAGGTATTATCGTGTTGCGAGTTCAAGACCAGCCTGGGCTACAAAGTGAACTAAAGGTCAGCCTGAACTGCATAGAGAGACCCTGTCTCAGAAAGACAAAAGTAAAAAAAAAAAAAAAAAAAAAAAAAAGTGCTAATTTAAATTATCCATAATGACGTACACCTGTGATCCTAGCACTTGGGGAGGCTGAGGCAGGAGGATAGCTGGGAGCTCGAAGCCAGCTGGGGCTACAAAGTAAGTTCAAGGTCAGCAGTGAAACCAGTCTTAAAAAGACAACAACAATAACAACAACAAAGTAAAAAAAGATGCTAATTTATATAGAAAAAAATCAAATCCATACAAAAAGGACAGAATCTATAGGAAAACACTGTATAGAAAAATGTTCAAAAACATTAAATATGATTGCTGAAAATTAAGTTTTCAAGACCACTGGAATACACAGGTGAGAAAAATTTACAGAAAAAAGATGAGAAAAAGTACAACCAAGGCAAAAAGGATTTCCCTGAACTTCAGGATGTAGATCTTTGGAATCCAACAACACACAGGCCGTGGACCAGCACCACTCACGCTTCCTCGGAGAGCTGAGGAGCGTGGAGGATGAGGAAGGGCGTCCTGGGTGTAGGTGCTCAGCTTCCCGGCAGCTGCTCAGGCACCGCATAACCCGTAGCGCTGGGGAAGAGCCATCCCCAGGCAGTGAGGGACACTGCCCCTGCGCCAGGGGCTTCCTCAGGCTGTCAGGGGCTCACCTGAGTCACAGATCCTCTAATCCTTCTCGTGGTCCTCCCCACCACCCTCTTCAGTGTCCACCTCCATCTCAGCAGCTGCTGGTCAGAGAAGGCCTGCACTAACAGGTCGGTGTTGTTTTCACTGTTTAAGTTTCATTACAATTAATTGTTTTTACTCTATTCAATATTCTGTTTTGACTGGTTTTATAATGTTGTCTTTGGCTTGATTTCGCTGTACCTAATTGACTGGACAACTATTGTGAAGATAACGAGATATACTATGGTACCCATTACTGGTATCCTGGTATCCTGCTGTGAAGTTCTGTACCAATTTCACTGCACAGTCTCAATTGGCTTTGTTCTGTCTTGTTCTTTAACATAAATTTTTTTTAAAAGTTAAGAAAACAGATTCATCAATTTTGCATTCTACATATCCTTTCTAAAAAAATTTACCCCTAGTTGATACGTTTGGAAATTTTGTTATAGTTTTTTTTTACTTATTTTCTTTTTATTCTTAAAATAAAATGGATCTGAAAAACTTAATTTACTTCACAGTGAATTCCAGCAATAAACATCCAAATAAAAGACACCAAAGTAACAACAAAACAAGAGCCAGATGGGACAGGAAAACAACTCCAAGAAATCACTACAAAGGCCAGCTTTGTTTAAAGCCCACGAAGCAACTAGTACGAGATGCAGCAAGAGGACAGGAACTTCCAGGACAAAAGTTATAACCGTTAAAAAAAACTCAACAGAAGAAACAGCAAAGATTTAAAACCATGACAATGATAGTATAGGAAAAAAATAAAACACATTAGGAAAGTTAGGAGAGATTCGCCCTCAGGTCAAGTTGGCCAGGGATAGAACAAACTAAACTGTGGTATTATTTTATTACTGCTAAACAGGGGAACAGAAAGAAGAAAAAAATTACTCATTTGACTCTGATGTTCAAGAACATTCTGAATGACCCACAGAAATTGTTACTTGGATTGACAGAGAAGGAAATACAAATTTAAGAGCATGACTTGATATGACGGAATAATGTTTAAATGATCATAATGACATATATGCTACCTACTGAATCAAACTTCAGATCAACCACGGGACAATTACAAAAGACAGGTTATACTTGTACGCAATTAGAAAACTTGAAAATACAAATGTATAGCTAACATAAAGTAGGATCCTGGCTGAAACTGGAAAAAAGGGAAAGTGAGACAAAGGACACAGGCATTAAGAGAGGTTTAAATACTTTTCAATTACAAGGTCATCAATATAAAATCTAAATGAGCACCAAAACCCCAGTTTTTCATGAAGAAATCAATCTACAAACTGATAAATCTTGAAACAGGAATTAGATATGTGTTCCTTCTAAAGTTCTAGAATAATGAGAAAAGGGAAAATGTTTTAAAGTCTCAAATTATTTAAAAACAAGTAAGAGACACTGTAGCTAGGGATAAGGGACAAACAGGGTGTTACGGTTTGTGTTCACATGTCCCCCGCCAAAGCCTCATAGGATCATGGGGGCAGGCCTTTTGGAGGCCACTAAATCTGGCGTTTGTGACAAACTCACAGTCCAATGCTGGGATTAAGGGTGTGCTACACCCACCCCAGGGTGGACAGCCTGCATATAAGGGACAGCAAGAGGTCTGCCCTGTCACTTCTGCTTTCTCCCACTGTCATGAACTATTGCCCCTCTGTCATGAGACACCATGCCTTGAAGCCAGCCAATTATGGATTGAAACCTCTACAAACTATGAGCTAAATAAACCTTTCCTCCTTAAACTATAGGTGTTGGGTATTCTGTGGGAGACTCTTACTGTACTTATAAATATACTAGCTGGGCGTGATGACACACACCTGTAATACCAGCACTCTGGAGGTTGAGGCAGGAGGGTCCCTGCAAATTCAATACCCTGGGCTACACGGTGAGTTCAAGGCCAGCCTGAACTATAGCAAGACCCTGCCTAAAAAAAAAAAAATACTATTGCTTTCATTTGGGTATATTACTTTAAAAATATATTTGAAAGCTAAATACATTTTTCATTTATCCTATAGACCCAAAGTAAACCCAAAGCTAATCAGCTACATCAAGCCTTTCTGCCTTCCACTGTTTTTATCCCATGTTCTCGTCTCCACTACAATCCTGCTTTCTTAGTTTGTTCCCAATCTTTATTATTTGATGTTATTCTGTCCTCCCCTTCTGTGTCAAGCCATGACAAGTCTCCCCTCTCCTACAGAAAGTAAAAAAAACAAAATCCCCAAATCTGGCTTATAAACATAGTAGTCTTTGTCCAAAGGCTGGTAACCACAATGTTATGAGATAGCATATAAATCACAGAAATAGCCCAAGGTTCTGGAGGCTGGAAGCCCAAGATAAAGGCTCTGGATAGGTTCATTTCTGTTACAGAAGGCAAGTTCTCTAACTCAGAGACAGCAAGAAGGGTCAACAGGCTCCCTTGGGCCCCTTTTATAAAGTGAAAATCTCATTCACAGGGTGCCACCCTAGCCTCTCCCAAAAGGGCCTATCTGTTCACACCACCAGGATTTCAGCACATGGATTTTGGAGAGACACAAACATTCACAGCCCAGCAAACATCGATGTAATGATGTCCCTGTACCCTCATGCCATTTAGGATTGTACCCAAGCATTTCGATAGCCTTTCTTTTTAGGCTTTTTCTCCAAGATCAACATGGCAACAGGAGAGTGGAAATACTTTACAGGACCGGTGTTCCAGTAACATTCAGGAAATGCTGCCATGATGTGTCCTAATTACAAAAACATCATTGCTTTTTTCAAGAACATTTGTTTTTTGGCACTGAAGAAAACTAAATCAACTAGTTAACAGAATACTATAAGGTTTTATATCTTTCCTTTATAATCGTATTAATTTTGCAAGATTAAATACCTGACAAATTAAGAGGGAAAATGAAACAAAACTGTTTCACCAGGAAACTGGTGAACCAACTAAAATCAAAATTCTGAAATTCACTGTAGGCACTATCCTAGTTTTCTTTAAAACATAATTTTGACTTCTTAAAGCATACTAAATTGTTCCTTTGTGTCACTCATGTCTATTTGCAAAGAAGACACCATACTTTTCATAAGATAATAGAATGAGCCCCACAAAAAGATTTAGTTTGAAACTCCAAAGAGATTAGTACAGGAGAAAAAACTAATTTATGAAGCCATATTTATGGAAAAACTAGCCAATTTTATTTGCCAAACAAGACTTTAAATCAATTAATATTTATTTATTTAGGCATAAAGTTACTTTCACATTTGTTTACAACCTTAGTAAACACATTTCTTGGCATAAAGGTAGCTTTTGTTTGCAATTTAAAATATCCCCAACTGAAAGATTGCACATATAAAACTCCTATTATTGTGTATGTAATAGTGGACTAGATAATCAAATTAAAATAGTTATACTGTTTAGAATAAAATAAAACAAATAATTTACTCATAAGATTCATATGTAAATCATCTTTATTTACAAAATACTATCCTGAGAATTATAATTCCATGAAGCTTCAATTTGAGCAAAAGTATAATCACTTAAGTAACAGCAGTTACTTAAACTGAAAACAAGAGATAAAATTATTTTTGAAGAGAGATCAAAAATGTCCTCAGGTTTCTTGCTGTGGCTCTGGATGGTCAGCAGCCGGCTTGCTGGCAGGCAGGGGCGCGGTGGGCCCTGAAGGAAGCTCACTTCTACTTTCAGAAGGCGGGGGTGGGGCTGGGGGCTGGGGGGGAAATCCAGCGCTTGAGGGAAGAGGAGGAGGAGGAAAACCCCGCGGTGGATACACACTTCTCACTGTGCAAAGAGATTGGCAAAAGACACTTTTAACTTTTTAAGAATCTGAATTGCAGCCCAATTAAAATCACTAGCTTATAAATATCTACTCTTATATTCAAAAACTGACATCAGAATAATACATATCTAAAACTTAAATTTTTACATGAAGAAAAATGTTCCTTCTTCAACTATGTATGATTAATGGGAATATAATTTTAAACAATTTTTGTCTTACCACTTTAAAAAACAGGAGTTATTTCACAATCGATATACAGCTTCACTTTTGAAAACATTTTCACATAATATAATAATATTATTTCTACTATTTAACATTCAGACCAGTGATTCTGACTTAACATTATACTAAAACATTTCCAGTGATATTGAGATCATCTTAAAATTCCCCAAATTTTAAAAACAGAAGAGAAATGACAGAATGACTACACAGGGTAAAGTATAGACTTTTCTCTATTATTTGGTAACCATGTATTTATTCTGCAGAAATTTATGGCTCTAAATGGCACAGTATGGCTGTAAAACAATAGTTATTCCTTTTCTCTTATATAAGACTATTAAAGAGTCTCATGATAAATATATCTTAGGTTTTAAGTATGTAAGACTACACAGAAACTACTTCTGAAAAAGACTTAAAAATAAATTAGCCAGTAATTTTTTTTTTTTTTTTTGAGATAGGGTCTCGTTATGTAATTCAGGCTGGCCTTGAACTCACTGTGTAGCCTAGCTGGCCTCAAACTCATGGCAATCCTCCTGCCTCAGCCTCTGCAGTGCTGGGATGATATGTGTGCACTACCACACCCATGCAGTACACAATTTTAATCTAAAAATATAAATAATTAACTAATTACCAAAAATAACAAGTTTCTATTGAATAAGCCTGACCATGGGGGCGCATGCCTGTAATTTCAGCTACTCAGGAGGCTAAAGCAGAAGGATCACAAGTTTGAGGCCAACCTAGGCAAACTTAATGAGACCTTGACTCAAAATAAAAATGGGCGGGGGATGCAACTTAGCATTAAAGAGCTAATATAAGACCCTAGATTCAGTGCCCAAGTCTAGAAAAAGAAAACAGAGAGATACAAATAATTTTAGTCTTAACATAAGATTACTGCAAAAAAACCATAATTTTCCAGACTACTACAATACAGAAATAGTTCCACGTTGCCCATCATGGTGGCACATGCCTATAATCCCAGCACTCAGGAGACTGAAGCAGGAGGATCACTGTGAGTTCAAGACTACCCTGGGCTACATATTTTCAAGCCCAGCCTGAACTGCATAGTAAAACTCTGTCTCAAACACACACACACACACACACACACACACACACACACAGAGGGGGAGAGAGAGAAAGGCACAGTTGCCAGTTATTCAGATAAAGCAAGTGGAAGCCTTCCTGTATTCCACTGACGGCTGGTTGCCCTTCATTTGGAAAAGTAATGGTATATTCACAGAATGTCAGAAAAGTTATTCTTCTGTTGTATTACCATATGAATAGACAGTAAAATTAGTATCTTTGATTTACTGGGTAAAACACAAATTAAATTTTTAAAAAAGAAGGCCTACTTGGGAATGGAGGAAGTGGGCCAGAGAAATCCCTTGGAGGAAAATAGTCTCGAGGCGCTCCGTACATGCTTCCTGGAGGAGGTGGAGGAAAAGGTGGTCCTCTCCTCATGATCTGGCTCCTTGGATACATTAGAAACGGGGGACGCGGGGGAAACGGCGGAGGAACAAAGCCAGGGCCGGCTGCTCTGCTCTCAGCAGGGAGGGAAGAACCCGGCACATTTGAATTCTGTAACAAATCCACATATGGCAGTCACTAAAACAGCCACAAAACTCACAGTAATTTTCCTAAATATCTTAGACATAGAAGAAAGCCACACACAACTAGATAGAAAGCAATCCATAGCAGCCTCAGTTAACAGAACAAGATTCAGTTTTCCACAGTAACTCAACAGAAAATGACCTTTACCAACAAAGTAATATTCTGGCTAAAGCTAAGATACAACTATAATTCAAAAATTTCAAAACATACACTTTTTAAAACTTTGAGACAAGATCTTGTTAGGTCACTAAATTACTCAGGCTGTGATCAAACTTCTAGTCCTGCCTCAGCCTCCTGGAGTGCTGGGATTACAGGTGTGTGCTACCATACTCGGCAAAACACACATTCTTTTCTCCAGCACATGGGGGGAGCGGATGGCAAGATGCTTGTTTTCAGTGATAAACCAATATCATAAATGCAGTAAAAACGAATTAAATGTAGTAAACAGAGGTACAGTGCTTCCTCCCACATGAGGGGCCCTGGGTTCAATCCTCAGTGCCATAAAAATGGAACAAAACACGTTTGTTTGTCGTTTGGTTTTGTTTTGTTTTTTTCAAATAAAAACCCAAATGGTAAAAATTCAACATCTTGTTCTACTAGTAAACTAATTTAAACCCTAAGCCTACAGGTTGTACTTTATCTCCACAGTTTAAAAATTCAGGGAAAAAGATTTTTAAAAAATAGCAAACAGCTTTAATGCTGGGTATGAACTGAATTTTACTGAAAAAAAGATTCATATCACAAAGCAAGTTATTAGCTATATTTCTATTCTATTAAACCAAGTGACCAAAAGGCTCTTTAACACATGGACAAATTCTGTCTTCTATACTTACACCAGGATCATCTTTGGTATCATTTCTACTGGATTCCATTTCTGAAGACACTGGCCCATCTAGACATAAAAGTTAAACAATGAAAAATACAGGACTTAGCATTTTATTCTTAGATTACTTTCAGACCATCAAGGACACTGATGTTCCCCACTCCACCTGCTGGCAGGCACTGGCTTAACATCAGCGTGTTACATTAGGGGCACAGGAACAGCTCAGGTCCCCAGAAATCCCCGAGGACGGGCGTTCTTCAGCAGTGTGCCACTGCTGAAGTCATCACTATGACTGCTCCTGCCCCCTAGGCAATCTGCTGCAGCAGCATCGTGACAGAACATGTAGGAGGGAGCATCCACCCTTCTTCCTTCCTTCCTCCTTCCCTTCCTTTCTTCTCCTTTTTCTTCTTTCCCTTCTTATTCATTCACCAAGAAACACAGATTGGTCATCTGAATTTAGCCAATTTCTAAATAAAAGTTCCTGACTCTGAAAGCATAAATGCAAACTTCTCTGACCACAACCACTGCCTCTTCTCTCGCAGCCCTCTCTTTCTGTCATTCTTTCCTATTATCTATCCTTCAACATCACTGAGGCTTCCAGTCCACCAGTGTAACTGAGTTGCCTCCTTTCTTTTCATCTTTCTCTACAATTCCAAGTCTGTCACTCGAAACAGCTATTAATCTTTGCCTGGTTGATCATTTTTCAGTTGTGCATCTCAACATACTAAGCTTAATCTAGAGCTCAGCTTTTACTTTGTTTATCTATATCAAGGCCACCTAAACTCACAGGAGGGGGAAAACTGGCTCATGCAGCCCGGCACTACTCCAGTTCCCAGTTCCACCACCCGACTCCGACTCCGGGGGCACACAGCCTGGCCTCCCTTCTGTGTCTTCTAAGCCAGCTTTCTCCTCAGCAATCGGAACCTCTATTCTCCTCAAATGCTTACATCTGTAATCCAGCATAAACGTTTCACAACTATATTCCTGTGATCTTCCCCCTGCTATCAGGATCCTTCCAGACAACCTACAGCCCTGACCCTGTGCTCAGAATCCCTCTCCTGGAGCTTCCCTCTCTGTCGGCTCCCTCCCTCTGTTTCTGCTCCATCCAAGTCTTCCCTACTCAAAACTGAAAGAGGATTTCTTTCTAGCTACGTGTCTCCTTCACAATCCACAGCTATTGAGTATACACCGTTCAGAATTCCTCCACTTTTGATCTCCTGTTACTGTAACCTATTTGCAATATCTGTGTTCCACTGAAATTATTTTACAGAAATTAAGAAAGTTTCTTTGTATGCTAAATTAAAAATAGATACTATTAATCCTTATCTTACATTACAGAAGCCAACCCTTACTTAATAGTCTCATTTTCTGAGGTTTTAATTACCTGCTGCCAACTATGGTATGAAAAATATTAAATGAAAAATTCCAAAAAAACAACTCAGAAGTCTGACACAGCATACCTTTTTAAGTAGCATAATAAAATGTCACATCATTCATTTCTACCCTGCCTGAGACATGAGTCATTCCTTTGGCCAGTGCATTCACTGCATACCCTACTGAGCCCGTAAGCAGCATCTCAGTTATCAGCTAGACTACTGTCACAATATCATGACAGTGCTTGTGTTCATAAAGGTACCATCATTTTACTTAACAATGGTCCAAATGTACAAGAGTAGCGATGCAAAGGAGACACAAGGGTACAAAATACGTGTCATGGTTTGTGTCCAGATGTCCCCCCAAAGCCTTATGTGGTCACAGGACTTTTCCACAGGTGGCTGAATCTAGAATATGCAATGTTGGAATTAAGGGTAGATGACTGCTGGGTCAGTCACTGCAGTCTGGCTAACACAAAAGTGACAGAAATAGGTTCATCTCCCCTTCTGCTTTTGTTGCTTTTGGTGTTTTCCACCACTATGAACGGTTACCCCTCTGCCATGCACTCTGCCTTGGAGCCAGCTGATTATGAACCTCTACAAACTGTGAGCTAAATACCTTTCCCCCTTTAACTTTGGGTGTCATGTATTTTGTCTCAGCAACAAGTGACTAAGACAACATGAAAAGACAGATTAACTCTGGTGCTATGTGGCAATGCTGCAGGAGATACAGGAAAAAACATACTACACAGAAGGTTCACTGGGGGATCCTGACACATATTTCCTATGAATAAAGGGGGGCATTGTATATTCCACTTTGCTGACCACACCCTCCCTCCCTCTTGAAATGTTCTCAGCCTCTTATTTCTATAACAAGTCCCTTCTTTCTCTACAGCTACTGCTTTGTAGTATCTTTGAAATCCACTATTTCTGACCATCTTTATTTAAGTAGTGCTATTTCTGAAGGGCCACTTTGGACACTTCTTTTTCCATCCTATCCCTCCTATAGCTTTCATTAGATATATGTAGTTAGATGTAACTTCTATATCTGCAATGCAGATCTTGACCACCTAACTGAAGTCATAAAGTTGCATCCTATGTGCCTTTTTTTAGAGATGGGTCTCACTGTGTAGTCCAGGCTGGCCTTGAACTTAGTTGTATAGTCCAGCTGGTCTGAAACGCACGGGAATCCTCCTCCTTCGGCCTCCCCAGTGCAGGGATTACAGGCATGTGCCACCACGCCCAGCTAGTACTGCTGATTTTATTCAAAGTATAACCTATAATTTTTCTTATCAAACTCGCTCCTTGTCTCAGAACAATGAATGGTCCTTCCTTCACTCACCCAAATACCACAGCCAGGAACTGGGTATCAGCCAAGGCTCCTTCTACTGTACCTCCCTCCCACATGGCTTCCATCCTAAATCCTAATTCTGTTTCTTCCACATCCATTCACATTGATCTAGCCTCTCCACTAAACCCCTGCCATCACTCTTATTGATTCCTGTCACAGTCTCCTGAAAAGTTACCCTGCTTCCAATCTTATTGTTCGCTAAGCTCCATAACACAATCACAGAATCACTTTTAACACACTCATTATCCTGAGAATAAGGCACATATTTCTGAACAGTTTGCAAGGTCTCGCAAAATCGAAACCATGCTTACCTCAGAGGCCACTTGCTTAACTATTGCCTGGCACACTCCAGGGAACAGCCATAATTTGTCAAGCATTCTGTTAATGTATGAGTTGTGTTTTCTAAACTACATCAGGATTCAGGTTTAACTGCAGTGCTGGCGCTTTGCAATAAGTAAGTGGGTTTTGGGTGCTCTCAGTCTCTAAAAGATTTGGCATCACTGTTCTACAACACTGCCATTGTCCTTTCAGTCCAGCTAGCTTCATTTAATTCTCAGTGTACATGCCACTTCTTCTGTTTGTTTGGTTTGGTTTGGGCGGGGGGGCGGGGTTGGTACTGATGATCCAACTCATAACCTTGCGCTAGCCAGGCAGGCACGTAAGCTGCTGAGCTAAATCCCAAGCCCCTACATGCCACTTATATTAAGAAGCTTTTCTTGACTACCTCACACTCAATCCACTTCCACTTCACGTGGGTCAGTGCCTTAGGCACTGCCACAACGTGACTACTGTGTTCCATAGTGTAACTTCCCTCACCCCTTCATTAGACCTCAAGGTATAGGAATACTGGGCACATACTCATCACCAACACAACAGCAACTACCACAATGCCTGGAAGCATCCAATAGGTAACAGTCACGTACTGCATAACAATATTCAGCTCAGTGACAGACCACATATATGACACTGGTCCCACAAGATTATACTGCCTAATGACACTATAGCACAGCGACAGCCAACCCTTTAGAGATCTAGTATCCAAAGTGCAACACAAAACCCACTTATTTATTACAAAGTGCCAACACTGCAATTAAACCTGAATGCTGAGGTTTTAGTTTAGAAAACACAACTCCTATATTAACATCATTTACCTTAAAAGAAAAACACAGTAACAGAGTTTTCATTGCTACAAACAGCTTTTGACTGAGGGATGAGAGATTGCACTTGGTGCCCTTTTGCACAATTAATGTGATCTTTGCTTTGTATGCATGCTAATAATTTGTCAAACCTTGGACTCAGGGACTTGGTTGGCATGCTGAGATAGGGTTCTACGAGGCTGCTACAGCAAGTGTGCCGTAAGTTCACCACCATTGTTATGGCATTTTAGTTTGCATTAATCATCACATGCTCTGAAGTTTCAGAACAATGAACTCATCCAATAACACATTTCTTCTTTTTCTACAGTCTCAAAAAAAGAGGCGATACTTAACGTAAAGAAAGTAAGTCAACATGACACATTCTACTGAGAAATGCATCCCAAAAGTATACACATTCCCTTTCAGTTTTTCACTAGTTAATCTTCTGGCAAAGCGCAGTGGCACAGTACCTGCTTGGCAAGTGTGAGGGCCTGAGTTTGACTTCCTGAACCAAAAAAAAAAAAAACCACTGAAAATTTAAAAAATGGTGTGTAAGATGGATGAACATATTATTAAGTTTTTGTTGGATTACTGAACACAGCTGTTTGCAGTCTCACTGTTTGAATGTCCACATTGTATGCTTTAATCCTGTAAATTGAACAACTATTTCTAAGAGGACAATATGTAATCTATTAGTGATTTCTTACTGGTTTTTTTTTTTTAAATTCTGTATTACTTGTACCCTTATAATGTTTTGTTTTTTTCCTTTAAATAAAATAAAAAAAAAAAAAAAACTTTAAAACTGAAGCTAGACTTCCAGGAGAACATGGCGGATAGATAACAGCAGCTATGGAGGCTCTCTGAGATAGCCAGCTTAGATTCCAGGAATGGTGCAGTATGGGGAGTCCTAAGCAGGGGGAGATATACCCTGCCGACCCAGGAACAAACTAAGCTGAGAGAAAACAACTGGAAATGCAATCCTGGTGCTATGACTGTAACAGCTAAAGTCTCAGTGTCGAAGCTGGAACCCGCGCCTCTGGAAACTACGGCTTGAATTTCCTGCCACTGCTGCTGTATCTGAATCGGCACAGCAGGGACAGAAACGTGAAAGCTCTGAGAGCGGGAATCAGCAAACCGAATTGAGAGCAGAGCTGGAAGGGAGTCCTGCATCGACCTGCGGTAAGTGAGAGGAATGGCGACCCTTCCATA